CTAACACTAACTAGTGTTAGCTAAAGAAAGTGTAGAGTGGGCTCTGAGTCATGGTGGGGTGTGCCAGATAAGTACAACTCTATATGTTTCTGTTTTAAAGTTCATTTGAATTGGCACAACACAGTTAGAAGTCTGCATGTCCCAGCAGATACCACACTAAGCTAGTGCCAGTCATATCCAGGATGATGGTGAGCATCCTGTCCTCCCACAAGAGCTCTAACATGCCAAGTCCCTTAGGGCTCACTGCTCCAAGGTATCAAGATACAACCATTAAAAGAAAACTATCAACATGGACTGTGATTAAGGACATGCAGCCTGTGTTTCATCTAGAAATTATGGTGGTCTCACAGGTAATAGCATGGAATCTGGATCATAAAAGAAGATCAGCTGTGTGAAACTGACTCCAGAAGAGACTAAAGCAATGCTAACTGGAAGAGGTAATCTTGTTTGAGCACCAACAGTTTATATGCATTATCTGAACTTTCAGTTATTTGTTCAGTACTTCCATGAAACATTCAATATAGTTTATTATGACATTTTGCTCCCTTTTAAGGCCACTGCAATTTCTGCCCTTTGTTTCTCTTCCTTCCCCAGCCTCCTTTCTTTCTTCTTTTCCCTAAGTTTGTGCATCACCTCCTTTCTCCCCTCTATTTTCTTCCCTGCTGCAACTCACATTTTCCCCAACCCCCTTGCAAGCTTCACTAAGGCCCCATCCCTCAGTCTGTTAAAATGATCAGCAGTTAAACAGTGCTGACATAAGCTTTAGAGTTCAAACCCAAAGAGTTTAATGGGGGCTGGGAGAAATTCACCCTTCTCCGTCATTACTTCAGCTGCCTGCAGACTCAGGAAGACAACAGCACATCAGTTACACTTTCCAAATGTGATCAAAGTTTTCTTTGCAACCATGAAGGCTAGATAGACCAAGTCAGCCACAAACGTAGACAGAGAGGCCAGAACCTGCCCACAGGTCAGGTATTTGGCTTAAGTCATATACTGTTTTCATGCCCTTAAGCACTCCCTTGGTACTTCATTGGAGCTGTGGGTATTAAGCTGAAGTTGCCTTTTCCTCCCTACTGTATAAATACAAAACCCTAGAGTACAGGGAGCATTTTGTTTAAGGCATTTTGGTTTTCAGCATTCAAAAAAACAAAAATCACTCAGCAGTTCCAGGACAGTTATTCTGTACTGCCTCCACAGGTCTCTAGTGGATAGAGTCAGTCCTCACCGACTCTGGGGAGGGGCCATGGTGTGTTAGTTACAGCACCAGGCCAACCACAGTGGTACAGACACTGGTACAGCCAACACACGCACACACTCCAGGGGAATTTAAAGCAGGGCCAGTCAGCAACGCAGGAGGAAATCAGCAGAGCAGGGAGTGAAGACAGGGACAGGGCAAAGAGCACAGCATAAGGAGGCGGCAAACAACAGATCTACCCCTGGGCAGAGCCCAGCCAAGGGGAAGGGGCTCCAGGAAGACAGCCAGCCGCACCAGTGGGAGGAAATCAGTCCCCCAGCAGGGGTGGCTCAGCCAGCAGCCCCTTGGCAAGGGAGGCAGATATTGGGGTCACAGCCCCACTGGGAAGAGGAACCAAC